TATCCAGCACTGATTGAATTCTTGTGGATTTTTAAAAGGATAAAAGGATGGAGAAGATGGCTTACTTTGAAAATTACAAATAAAATTATGTCCCTTAAAAAGCTCAACATCTACCAAGCTGTCCTTGTGCATCCATCCATCCTTCTATTCATTCATTCTTGTATTTATCCATCTATATTTCTACCCATCCATATTTTAACAACTTTTAACAATTCATAATACCAAGACAAATGGTTATTAACCACAAAACACCCTTTACTGATCTTGGTTCGTGTTGGTGTTGAACTGTAAGTTGAAATCCAAAGGCTGATTTCTTTTTTAACCACCAGGCCTGCCACTACACAGGGTGGGTGGTGTAGAACACAGCAAGGCGCTACGTGGGTGGATTTTGTTCTTCCAACAAATTCTGAGTTTTTAAAAATCCTCGTGCATTCACTCAATGGAAAGAAAGATTGGTCACATTTTGGTCTTTTCAGTAATATCCACACATACCCAAATAGCAATCACATTCATAAGGGGCATCTTTAATATAAACACGTAGAAAGAGCCTCTGTAAACAACCCTAGGAATGTGAAGGGAAGTATTCTAATCAGTACAATCTCTCCTCTATTCAGATGGTCATCTGGACTTCCCTCGCTAGTAATGGAGACTTTGCCAGGGTCTATGTAGAATATTGTGATATCAAGTAGAATATTTAAATTGTGTAAGTTTAAACTTCTAACCACATTTAACAACCTCTTTTTTTCTTTTTTGGAAGAGAGATGGTGGAAACAGTGAAAACAGATCTCTGATATTCCACTCGGATGGACACAGGTCTAGGGTATACAAATCATGTATCAGATTTCCCTAGACCCTTCGTTGGTGTCAAAGACTCCCCCACATCCTGGCCCCCTACCCCTGCCCTTTTAGGATCTTTCTAAGTAATATTGACCAGGTTCAGCTAAAAGTGGTCTTTATAAGGGCAAGTGTGGGTAACGTGAACGCCATCCTTCAGAGAGAGCTGCTTTAGCTGCCCAGCTGATGGAGCAAATGGCGCCGTCATGCAGGGATTAGGACCAAACTCATGAAACCGTACACATCACCACCCCAGGGCCACGTGGGGACACAGCCTCACAGACCTTAAAACACAACAGAAAGGGAGGTGACACTGCACCAGGCAAATTATGCCTTCAGGTGTTTCTTCCCAGCCATGGCCCTCAAAAGGCAACTTGTTTTTTGTTTTTGTTTTTGTTTTAAGTAAAGCAATTTATTTTATTCTTTTTTTTTTTTTTTTTTTTAGATTTTATTTATTTATTTGACAGAGAGAGACACAGCGAGAGGGAACACAAGCAGGGGGAGTGGGAGAGGGAGAAGCAGGCTTCCCGCAGAGCAGGGAGCCCGATGCGGGACTCGATCCCAGGACCCTGGGATCGTGACCTGAGCCGAAGGCAGTCGCTCAACCGACTGAGCCACCCAGGCGCCCAATTCATTTTATTCTTAAATTGTTCTAAACAACAAAGTGACCTCTGTTATATGCATTTAACGAAACACATAATAACTCGCAATACAATTTGGGTTACTTCCCGGTTTCTATTTTTAGTTAAACTAAAAAATGTATTTTCTTAGATTTCTGGCTGGCGACTTAAATAATTTTTTTCGGAGGCCTTCGGCATTCCCCTTTTAAGTACAAATTCTAGCGGCTCTTAATTTATCCAGTGTTTTCTGTCTTGTTTTGTTCTGAAATTACTTCTTTTGCAGAGAAAACGCTACATCAGAGCACAAGATTCCGTACAGCATGACAGCCAGTGTGGTGCGTTATTTCCAGTCTCAAAAACCATCACAGATTTTCCTTGGGGCTGGGAGAACACTTCTTTTTCTTTTGACCCATGAGTAGGGACTGCTCCCTGTCACGGACGGGATGGAGATGGAAGGCCTGGCTCCTCTCGGCAGGGGCAGTGGGCCGACAGGTCTGGGTTTCAAGTTCTGCCAATTCCTCCGAGCCTGTATCTCATTTGCCGACCTTGTTCCAGCCCACAAGTCAAGTCCCCTGGGGCCCCACTGGGACCCACAGAAAGCAGAACCCGGCGGGGTTGGTTGATGGTGGCTCCTGGTTTCTCCTCCCGCGTGCCCTTCCGTTACCAGCGCAATCCAGGGCTGACCGAGGGGACATCTCCGAGAAGGGCTACGCTGTTGTTGGTGTATCTGTATCGATGGTAACAGTAAGACGTTTTTTGTGAATAACCGGAAAAAAAAGAGGTGTTCAAATCTCGCCTGGTAAACTGTTAATGCCTAAGTTATTTCTGGCTTTAAACATTATTTTTAATGAATACATATTTTTACTGAGTAAACACGCGGGCAACTCTCCTTCGGAGTTACGTGCTCCCAGGGTGTGTAATGGGAGGTGTTTGGTTTCAGTTACGCACGAGGGAAAAATGCTGTGAGTCACGGGAAAGAGTAAATATGCAAGGAAAGTGTTGTGTGAGTGTGTGTGGGACTCTCTGACGTTATTGTTATTGGTGTCCTTGCTATTACAGCATGGGAAGATGGCAGAGCCGAAGGACCGAAGCCCCAGAAGGCAGCAAGGGCAGCACGGGGGGAGGGGGGCTCTGGTCTGACCATCGGAGGCCAGGCAAGGTGTCCCCCCCAGCAGCAGGCCAGTCTCTGTCCATGCGGATTTTCCCAGACAGGGGCAAGGATCTGAACTGGACCTTTCCCTCATCTAGGAGGAGGGAGATTATGATATTGGTATATTTGGACCACGATCGCAGTGGGGGGTGGTGAAGAGGGAAGAAGAGGGGGGAAGAACATGAAGACAACAGGACCAGGTCCTGCGCCTCAGGTGTGCAGGTAAAGCCCCTCCGCTCCCCTTGCGACATGCACACCAACCCCAGCTTCCCTCCCTACCCCGCCCTGCGCACCCAGCTCAGGACTAGTGACCAAGGGAGACCAACCCGTTTTTCAAATGAGGCAGGGTCTAGACACATATTCTTCCATACTTAGACACACGTCCAATCCAGAAATGGGGATTTGGGCCTCAGGTTGAAGTGTGCCTAGGGAGCTCTATGGAGAGGAATAGAGAGGAAGAGCGGGCCCTCTCATCCCATGCGAGCAGTCATGATTGGATCAGCTCAGCCCCCCGTGATGCGCGCATTACCCCGTCCCGTGGGAGCCCCGAATGTCCCGTGGTGGCAGTGGGGCTGCGGAGGGAAGGGTGGCCCGGGCTGCAGAATGAAGGCGCTCGCTCCTGGGGCCCGGGCAGAGGGGGATGGGGCATGGTCACACCGCCTAGAAGAGAACAGAAACAGCATCTGGGGAACTGGATGGTGGCCTGCGGCTGCCAAGGCGCAGGAGGCCGTGTTTCTCTTTCCGGCTACAACGAGCACTCTCGCTCAACCCACTGTCCTCCCCCCCACCCCCAGCCCCAACTGTGCTGGGAGAAGTACGGGGTTAGGGGACAGAAGGGTCGGTAAATGCCGAGACACTGGGTACTAGAGTCAGCGATGATGGGAGGTGACATCCAGCGAGTCTTCTCAGCACCAAGAACAAGCTGGTGGAATTGTGCCGCGACTGTCCTCTTTGCTGCTAAGAAATCAGGACTTACGAGGTGGTCTGGCGACAGATCCCAGGCCAAACCTACCCCTTTCCACTATGGCCTGGTACCCTGTTCGCCATGTTGAGGCGTGAGAGTTTGCTCTGGGCAGGGAGAAGCAGAGCCCTGGGCTGCCCAGCACCAGTCCGGCCTCCCCGTCTCAGCGCGGAGTCGCCACGGGCAAGGGCCCCCAAACCGCCTTCCGTCCACAAAATGGACATGAAGGTGACGGTCCCCACTGAAAGGTCCTGAGGACAGTGTGTGCTGCACAGGGATTGCCCACGAAATTGCTGCTGCTGCTGTTCCCGAACACGCAGAGCCCAGCAGGTGGGGAGCACACGGCTGAGGTCACGTTCGATTTCAAGCCCTGGTCAGAGCCCAGTGGGCTCAGGGAGACTCGAGTTCGGGTTTGTGCGGGGGACACTGCACGAGGGCCACGGCGGCAGGTGCTCGGCAGCCCTCCCCGGGGGGCCGTCAGGAGCCCCTGCAGAGCAGAGCATGCTGCCCATGGCGACCGGGTTCAAGAACACGGAAGGGCACGGAGGGCCCAGGACAGGAAAAGAACATGGGCGGAGTATGGAAGAATCAGGGGAGCGGAAAGAGACGGAGCAGGGACACAGGGGAGCGAGAAGCCATGCGAGAGACATTCGGGATTTTGTGTCTGGATCACAGTGCTGGACCACACATTTCAAGTTAAATACTGAACCTGAGTTTCACACTCTTATAAAGGCTTGCAAAGGATGCTGCTGCCTCAGAAGTACAAGGGAAGGGGGTTGAGAAGAGGGGGAGCAGAGCAGGATGATGGGGCGTGTGTGCGGCTTTGGAGAGCTCTCTTTTCCAAGACCAGCATGCGTAGTCGGACTTTGCCAAGGAGGGCCTGTGCCTCTTCCCAAGGGGCAAACCACAGTCTTAACGGCTTCCATCCTTACAGGTATCTGGACTCCTGTTTTCTCCATTTATTTATTTAGGAAAATATATCAAAAGTCATTTGAAAAGGTCACTGTGGCTGAGCCAGCTCACATCCAGTATGTGTAGGAGCAGAGAGAACCATTTTAGGTGAAAAGAAAAGGCATCATCCCGATTTGCAGTGATGGGCAAGAGCGATCTCAAAACGGAGAGCCGCAGAACAGCCACCCTGATGTGGTCCCGGGCAGGGCCCCAAAGTTTCAGACCCAAGTGCGAAGATAAAGAAGTAAACTAACCAAAACGATTCAAGATTAATTTGATATTATTTAAACATTAGTTACATACGCTGGTTTCTCTTCTGACTGCATGAAAACAATAGGGAAAATTCTCTGCCTCCCAGAAATGAATTTGTCCAAAGTGATCTCTACCCTGAATTTCTACAAAAACTCTTCAAAACCATGAGAAATCGGTTAGCCCCGCTGGATCTCTCTGCTTGGAAGATGAATAAGCAAAGGAGCCCTTGACATTTCATTTCCCTGACATTTTATTTTGTTCTAAGTCCTCTTCTCTGGTTCCTCAAGTACATTTTCTGTTCAGATTCTGCAAACAGACATCAGGATGACTCAGAACCCATTTAAACGTATTGAGCCTCACAGGTTTGGCGATTTAATTACGTGTTGCACGGGATTTATAAATAGCATGCAGTCTCTCTGTGCGTCAGATACCTACCAAGCAGTGGTGGCCGGGTCTCTGGGTTTGTGCGGTGACACCTCAGGCCAGCCGCTGGATACAGTGGGATGAAGAATCCGAGCATGTTTGCTGCTGGGGTGTGCCAGGAGGATTGGGATTTGGTTCTTCCAGGGAGAGGCTTAATCCTCCAAATAGTTCCCAAACGAGGGGCTCAGTGTATGGTGTGAGAGTACATGGGGGATACGCCATCTGTCGCAGGTCTGGAGCCTGGGTTGGGTGACCATTGGTGCTGGGCCTGGCAAAGGGACCCACAGACGTCGAGGTTCTTGGGGAACCCCAGGATGTTGTCTGGTGGGAGGGACTGATATGGAGGGCTCAGGCAGGAGGGTCTGGAGCTGCGCATCAGGAGCCCCGTCACCAGGGAGAACCCAGACGCCACATGCTGACTCCCTCCTAACAGAAAAGGCCAGTCAGCACGCCCCACAGGGAGAGACGCATAGTTTATGGCTGGTTCTGGGGGACGAATATGGGTTTCTGATCATCCTCCTTCCCAAAGACAAGACTGTTGCTACTGGTAGCAGGACCGAACTTGCAAAGGAAGGGTATACAGACCTGGAGAGAGGAGCAAACAGAAGGAGAGGGGTGCTAAAATAAAATTAAGAAAAAAAAGAAAGAAATTGAAGAACATAATAAAATTAAATTAAAAAAAGAAATTGAAGAACATAATAAAATTAAATTAAAAAAAGAAATTGAAGAACATAACATAATAAAATTAAATTAAAAAAAGAAATTGAAGAACATAACATAATAAAATAAAATTAAAAAAAAAAAAAGGAGAGGGTTGCTTCAAGAGCCTGCAGAGAAGAGCAGAAAGGGCAGGTGCCGAGCTCCCATGTGGGAGTCCCTCCTCCTTCCTCCTGCTGTGGATCTCTGGAGCCTCCCTGCTTCACGGCACTCAGTGCTTCAAAGGCCGTGGGGCCGCACCGAGGAGGATCAGGAGCATCCAGCAGCATGTACAACGTCTAAGGATGGCGGGGAGCGGGGGTTGGTCAAAATCACCGACTGTGACCATCTGGAACGAAAGAGATGAAGGCGGTTGGTGGAGAGAAGTCTGGAGTCCGCAAGGTGCCTGGTACACAAACTACAGTGTGAGCATGTCGGAATGGGAGTGTGCAGTGAGAACGGCATAGTGATGGGGGTCCAGAAGCCTCCAGAGTCAGCAACTCGGGGAGGAGCTGGTCCCAGGAGGGCGAGCGAAGACCACGGCCCTCCCGTGGGCAGCCCCTTTCAGTGACCTGTCCATCAAAGCGAGCTCGAGCACCCCGGAACAGTGATCTGACTCAGCTTTCCTATTTCACTTCTAAAATATCTATTATCACAGCAATCCATCCTATTCTGGAAGAGATGGCAGTCATGGCTGTTCGACCTTGTCACCATCCCGGAACCTCGGAACTGCACACTTCAAAGTGGCAAATTTTATGGTATATGAAGTGTGTCTCAAAAACGTGATGCATCACAAACTGGTTGGAAGCAGTTTTAAAAATATTCAATGGTGTAAATTTAAAAATGGAAATCTCTTGATCCCCTCCCTGACCTACACATTCCTCATTCCCACTTCCCCAAGGAAAACCACGTTAGTACCTTCCAGAAATTCTCTAGGACTATAAAAGTATGTATGCGCATTTATTTTTTACAAAAAGAGGATCAAACCATAAGTAGTATTTTGCAGCTGGCTTTTTCATGGAGCAATAAGTCCTTCCCTGTCAATACAAATAAACATGCCCAATTTTTCCCTAGGTGCTGAGCGCCCCATTGCATGGCAGCTCTGTCGTTGACTTAAGCAGTCCTTTGTCGTTTGGGGGCACTTGAACATTTCCCAAATTTTGCTGTTTAGACCCTTTAGTGAATGTGCCCGTCACCACCTCTGTGCGCTTACATAAGCATATGTGTGGGACGGATTCCTAGAAGGAAAATTGATAGGACAAAGGACGTGTGTGTTTCAAGTTTGATAGCTAGCACTAACTGCTTTCCATCAACTGTTCCTAATATCCAGTGTACCCAGCAGGGTGGGACAGGGCCCCTTTTCTCACGCTCCCTGGATTTAAGTCTTGCCTTTGGAGAAGGTAAAGGATCACTTGATTTCGGGTGGAGATAGAAGACAGGACACGATGAGGGAAACCAGCAGAGCCCAGCATGGCCTGAACTAGGATGGTTTCATTTTAACCTGTACATAAACTGTCATTCTAATATAAGGGTTTTTGGTAGAAGGGTTCTGGTCAAAAAAAAAAAAAAGATAAAAAATGTGAAAACCACTAGTTAGGTAGTCATATAAGCCATGTTCCTTCCTGCTTCCAGACACTCACTTGGCCCTGCTGTGGCCTCCAAATGGCCCCTAACCAACCTTGTCCCCAGGTGTCCATGACCCGTGAAGTCCTGTCCCACACGGAATAGAGCCCATCTGCGTAACTATAGCATGATGCAGAGCCAAGCTGTGGTATTTAAAGACACTGCACCTTCTGCCGGACGCTTCTTGATCTCTCATTCTGGGGGAAGACGGCCACCACGTCTTGAGGACAGACGAGAAGCCCTATGGAGACTTCGGGGATGAAGACCCAGCTTGCCTGTTGAGTGAGTCAACGGTCCTGGCGGCAGAATTCAGAGGCATACCAGCCTCCTTTGCGTGCAGTATCAGGAGCGACCCTGAGCCAGAACCCCAGCTAAGCCTCTCCCGAACTCATGACCCGGAGAAGCCATGTGCCGGACTCTTTCCTGTGGTTCAAAGCCTCTAATTTGGAGTAGGGGGGTGGGTAACTCATTATGCAGCAATAGATAACTAAGACACCTGGAATTCTGTGGTTTGGTGTCCCAGATTCTGAAGTTCTGGTTTCATCCCTGGACTTAAACCCCACCGTTGATTCTGGCCCACCGGAGGCCCTTGGTGTGTCTTATCAGCTCAGGACACTCGATCCCTTCCACAGTACGGCTGCGGCTCAGCCCGCGTCCTGGAAGGGGCTGGCAAGGCACAACACGAAGCCCACAGTGACACCAGACACTGGTTATTCAGTCACCGTGTTCCTTGAGAGAGCAATTTCATACAACGAGAGAAGGGTTCAGAAGCCAGACTCTACGGATCTAAGAGTCTACGAGGTGAAGAAGGATGGGAACCATTCCTATCAAGTTGTTGGTGATGAAGGGAAGCAGAAGGGTTGTTGGTTCCATGTGTTTGCTTATGGGGATATGCAGAGTCGAGCTTACATTGCAGAAAGAGGAGGAATGAGTGCCTGCAGTGAAATTAAAAATGTGAGCCCTGGAGGAGAGCAGATAGAGGGGGCTGTAAAAAGAGAAGGCAGCTGGGGCTAGAGCCCACTCACTTCCCTGCACCTGCTCACTTGTCCAGGACTGGGGATCCCAGGAGCCTGCAGAGAACTGGGAAGAATCAGTGTCAGAGCACAGAGCCCACAGGTGAGGGATGGAGGGTTCAATGGGCCACAGCAAGAGTCTTACCCCAGTTGGAGAGCATCACCATAGCGGGGCTGCGATCCACTCAGCTTTGTGACTTGAGCTAGAGGACAGACGTGGGAACCCCAAGATGGGACAGAATTCCCGGTACTTAGGACTGCACATGGCATTGGTAGGCGCTCAGCTGATATGAGTCGGATGAACGAGCGTGTGAAAGTAAATAAGAAGGTAGACCAAGGCTGTGGCTTTACATTTTTCAGTGGCTGAATGTGGGAATCCAGGAGGCAAACTGAGTCCTGTTCCTCTGGGAGGACAGGCTGGGGGAGGGGCAGGCTCAGGTCTGGGGCTGATTTAATAAGCGTAACAGGGCCTGAGACAGGAGTCTCTGTGGTGACGGTGAGACCAGGCGCTGGAGTGCCACAGGGATGGAGCTGCTGGGGCCCCAGAGGCCTGGCCATGGACTTCTCTTAGTCAAGAGCTAATGCCTTTCTGTCTCCCTCTGCAACGTCCTTGAGTCCTGGAGAAGCCCTGCTTTGTTCAACACAGTGGTGGCTTTGTGCTTCCCTCTGAAATAAAACTTTTATCCTAAAAGAAAAAGAAAATGTATCCAATGCAGTATGTCATCATCCCAGTGCTCCAACCTTCCCAGCCCTGGTGGGGAGGACAAGGAGGCAGCCGTGGTCCCCGGGGCACCGGGGGTCTGTGCTCCTGATTATCTTCCCTTCCTGGATTTCTGTTGTAAGTCACTGAAGATACACAGGAAATCTAACTCCCAAACTTGGCTTTTCTTTTTTCCCTCCCCCAGCCCTTTCACTGGGAAGGAAGAGCAGACCATGTGGCCAGCGAGAGTAAAACCTGGATGAAATCTGCAGAGGTTTGAGGCAGGCGACAAAGGGCCTGAGCGGCCTCCCAGCGGCACAGGTGTGGCCCCGGGCAGGAGAAGGGGCTGCCCTGCGACTCCGGCTTACTGGGGGGACGCTGGCTGTCCTTGTGCGAGCCCGGCGAGGTCAGGACTGGACCCAGGCCCCCCGCGCCAGCTGACCTCTCCGTGCACATTAACCAGCTTCTCTGACCTCACTCGGTGGGGCGACCCACGTCCTCGGGGCCGCCTTGCCCTCGCATCTTTGGGCAGCCTCAGGACATCCTGGCGACAGGCTGCCGCTGTCTGTGCAGACACAGAGGGAGCAGGCCCCTGCCCGGCGCTAAGTCGGGAGAGGGGCCTGCTGATGGAGCGACAGTGTGGCACTGGAAAGTTTTCAGTGCTCTGAACGGGAGCGCGACAGAGCGGCCTGCGCCGTTTCTCCACCCGGCGCGTTCGGCCGGAGCCGGCGGGTCCCCGGGAGCGGCGGGAAGGCCCGCGGCCAGGCTGCACCCGGCTCACCTCGGGGCGCTGGGAATGAGGTCACCGCCCGGGAGTCGCCGGGGCGGGGGCCGGCGGGGGCGGAGGGTTATTCAAAGGGAAGCGCCGGCTCCAGCGCCGTGGGCGCCGGGGTCAGGACTTTCTGGTTTGTCCTCCTGCAGGAGGCCGCGGAGAAGAGGCAGGCGCCGGGCGGGCTTGCCGAGCGGGGGGCCCGGAGTGCCACGAGGACAGCAGCGCGCGGGCGCGGGGACGCGTTCCCGGGACAATGCAGAAAATGGGAGCCGCGCTCCGCTCCTCCTCCCCGGGGAAGGAGGCGGCGCCGGCGGGCGGTCCGCCG